TGTGACCGCGGGCCAGCCGGACTGCAGGCAGTGGGGGCTGACAGGGGCTGCCCCCCGCAGCAACTTCCTGGTGACTCAGGGCCGTGGTGGCGAGGACTTCAGGCCCTGCAGACAGGGACCGCTGCAGAGCGCATGGATCCCCTCCCGCAGAGGCGCGCGGCCCAGATGCCCCCAGCTCGGTGTGATGGGCACTTCTCCCCACCCCGACCGCTGTGATGACGGTGAAAACAGGGAAGTCGCTGTTGTCAGGCCTTTGGAACAGGGAGGGCATGGGGATGGGGGAACCGGGGTCTGTGATACCTGCCACTCTTGGGACAGACACACAGAAGGCTTGCGAGGCTGGTGGCCAGACTGAGATTGCACTTATTTGTTATGCTACTAATATTTGAAATAGACATGCTATTCCATTTGTTAATTTTTTTTTAAAAAAAAGTCCAAAGGACAAAAACGACCAGATGTGAGCCTGCATGCCACGCTCGTCCGTTCACGGTGGGGATGGTCTGCAGACGGAAGCGCTGCCTTCTTCCTTTACTTTTGTGAATTTCCAAGTCCTGTTTCATGGGAAGACGGTGGGAGAGAAACCAAGACTAACGGACAATGCCATCCATCGCCAGTTCATTCAGCATAATTGTACCCGGGTCGGAGGTGCCTGGGCCGCAGGGGACTGTGGGGGGTTAGCAAATGGAGAATCAGCTAACCTTCTGTTCAGTAGTTAACCGAGGTTTTGTGTTGTACCACACCCACCACACCTCCTTGTGTGACCAGACTTCCTGCGGACAGCCAATAAATGACGCCCTCTGTTATTTTGGATCTGCGTGAAGTTATCCTTAACAGCGTCAATGACAAGGTATCCTGTGGCTGTGGAGAGTTCGTTGTTATCGAAGTATCCCTAGTGAGGAGTGGTCCCCAAATGGCCCAAACCAAGCCGTTGAATTGTGGGGTATGTAAGAGAGCAGCTTCTTGTCATTTTTTAAAATATATTTTTTTTTATTGGCTTCGAAGATGAATGATGAGAGGGAATCATGGATGGGCTGCCTCCTGCTCACCCCCTACTGGGAATCGAGCCCGCAACCCGGGCCTGTGCCCTTGTCTGGAATCGAATCTGGGTCCCTTCAGTCCATAGGCCGACGCTCTGTCCACTGAGCCAAACCAGCTAGGACTTCCTGTCATTTTTCTTTTTTCTTTTCTTTCATCGTCTCTTTCTGACATAGTTTTAGCGGAACATGCTCTGCGTTCGCAGGTGATCCTGCAGCAGTTTATGTCTCTGGCTCGGAGCGGCCGTTCAGGCACGTGGTGTGCTGTGGGCCACCTTCCCCGCCCTGCCTCCACCTTCCCTGCCCTGCCTCCACCTTCCCCGCCCTGCTCCTGCAAATGAGGCACCAGCGCTCAGAGGGTAACCCGCCATCCTAGTAAAGGCATCACAGTGGGAGGAGACACCGGCTTACAGTGTGGGCTGAGACCATGTACATCATTGTTCTTCCCTAGATACTACTCAGAATGGAGTTAAGAAAATTACATCCATTCACGCCCCTTTCTCACCTGGCTTTGGACTTCGGGAGTAAGTCCCTTCGGGGGCAGCTGCAGGGACTCGGCAGACTGTCCCTGCTTCTCAGGTGATAAATCCCACAGCCAAACCGACTCAAGCTGCACGTCGTGCTCGGGCCCCTGCAACCACATGAAAGGCAAGATGCACTGATCAGTGATGCAGGAGGTCCCCAAAGGTTTGAATTCATGGAAAAGGGCTGTGTCGTCTGAGAAAGGGCTGCCATTTTATATAAAAGGGAAAAAAAGGATAAAAGACAAACGCACAATGTCAGTCTCATCTGGGATAAAGCCAGTTCTCCGTAGGTCAAAAAATTGTGCTGAAAATAACCAGAGTTCTTGGGTCCTAGTGTCTTCGAACCATCCCTGTTTCCTACTGTATATGTGAATAGAAAATGCGAAGGTAGAGTATGTGTAGCCATTATTTTTAATTTTTTTTATGACTTTAGAGAGAGAGAGAGGAAGGGAGAGAAAAACAGTTTCACCCAACCATGCACTCACTGATTGATTCTTGTGTGTGCCCTGGCTGGGGATCGAACCCACAACCTTGATATATCGTGATGATGCTCCAACCCACTGAGCCACTTAGCCAGGGTGGCATTATTTCGTTTCTGGACCCCCTAACGACTTGTACACACTGGGAATTTAGAATAAGGGGAACAGTGTCCCCTCCTTAATCCACCTCACGGTCATCAGTGCACAGGGGTTCCCCTGCACGCACTGCCTGTGAGCAAAAAATGACAGCCCACTGCCTGCCTTCACCCCCACCTCCCGCTCTGCTCTTCACCTCCTTCCATCCGCTCCCCGGAGATGGAGAGAGCTGGCCCTGGGAGAGAGCGGGTGATTCTGTCTCACTCTGGTACCGGCGTGGCCCTGTCCATTCCCAACTTCTTCATCTGGAACACGGAGACGGGCCTTCGGAGTCCTCCCCTTCCTCACATGTTCCAATTCGGTGTTTCCTGACTTCCCATAACCAGCCCTTCTTTCCATCTCAGTCTGAAAAAGCCCAAGAAGCAAGGGCCATTGCTCATTTGTCTCGACATGGTGAACATTTCCTTCGTATTTCCTGTCAGTCTTCCATCTCAGCCTGGGCCCCGTTCCCTGGACCCACACCCTTTATCCAAGAGCGGGTTGGGAAGTCTGGTGGAATGAATCAGGTCTGTTCAGGGTCCATGAGGGAGATGAACGTAATGAGCCAATTTGCTAAGACAGGTCGCGTCTTAAAACCCCAAACCAGAGAGGTACCACCGCCCTCTCCTCTGGCTGGGGAAGAACGGAGGGCCCTCCGCGTGGGCCGGGAGCCCCCTCCTGCCTCCGGTCAGGGATGGTCTCAGAACAGCGGCTTGCCCGGCGATGAGCTTGCCTTTCCCACGAACTGGTCTGGCTCCTTAAATGTTGAGTGGCTGCATCCAGCTGTGGCTGAGCAGACCTTGGTCTTCCTCAGCTCTGTCCGTGTGTCGCAGATGGATTGCCTGCCAGCTAAGAAAGAAAAAAATGAGATAAACATTTTACCGTGCTATTAAAGCTTGGACCATTATCAAACACACATCCACGCTCTTTTTCCTGTTTAAAAATTCATCTGCTTCTGTTCTCCCAGAAGCACTCCAAGCACGCAGGCTCCCCAGGCACTGAATTTAGCCTGAAAGCCCTGCTCTCCCCGGACGGATGCTGCAGGGAGCCGAGAGCCTGCGTCTGAGAGGATGCGATGACACGTCGCCCTGTGCCTGGGAGAACGGGCCCGGTTTGTGTGTGAGTGTGAGTGTGTGTGTGTGTGTGTGTGTGTGCTGTACCCACATGAAAAATGCTCGTTCCAGCTTTTAAATGGAACTGTCAGCCTGTGAGAATGATGGCAGATATCCACCCTGTGCCAGCAAAATGCCAGGTACCTGTCCTGGTCCAGCAGGGCACCCAGGAACAGGCCTTTTGGGTGCTTCCCAGGGCTGTGCCCACCCCTCTGTGCACTGCAGTCTCCGCCTGTCGTGTTTAGGATACTGACTGGGGTTCAAAACAAGATGTGAACCCCATTTTACGAGCCATGTTCCTACTCACTCCTGAGTGGCTTTGATAGCCCCTTAACTCTTCTCCTTTTATATCATTTACTAGAGCCCTGATGCACGAAATCATGCGAGAGTAGGCCTTCCTTCCCCCCCAGCTGCTGGCACCAGCTTCCCTCTGGCACCCGGGACTGGGCTTCTTCCCCCGCAGCCCCAGCTTCATCCGGAAGGTCGTCCGGAAGGACATCCAGAAGGATGTCCAGTCTAATTAGCATATTACACTTTTCTTACTATAGATCAATTTTTAGAGAGAGAGAGAGAAGCATTGGTTTGTTTCTCCACTTACCTATGCATTCATTAGTAGATTCCTGCATGTCCCCCTTAGCTCTTCATGACCTGGGCCTGGGCCCTCCCATATGATTCAACAGCAAGAAAAATGGATTTGCCAAGTGTCCCCTTGGCACAGGAGTTTGTGGTGGCATCTCCAGGGAAATTCTGGAACCCAAGCCATGTGGGGCCACCTTTCAGTGGCTGCCAAGGCTTCTGCAGGGCGAGGCCTGACTGGCCCTTTGGGGGGCCTCGAAGCCACCCCGGCTCCCTGCCCCAGCAAACAGCCTCTGTGACCAGGCTGTCCCCCTCCACCCACAAACCATCTTCTCCACAGGACCCCAGTGCCCGCCCAGCCAGGCTCCGGCTTCTGCATTGAGCCAGGAGGGTCCAGGTTTTCATGGATAGTTTAAGGAGTGTCTCCAGAGGCAATTGCCTTTCCTTCCTGCACGTGAGTACACTGTTTCGCCCCTGTAGTGCTTGGTCAGGTAAGAGAAGAGAATAAAGGGAACAGACATTAAATATACTTTTCTGATTAGTGCCTTACAGCCGTTTCGAAGCGGAGCCTCAATCAAATCGATGTTCACATTTTCTCCTAAGCACCTGTGAGCTGTGGGAGTCTAGCAGACCCTTGTCCGAATGAGAGAGCCTTCTGTGAATTCTTACTCCTCTGGTCCCTCCACGGCCCTGAGGGTCTGTGCATGGCATTGCATGCTGTTTCCATGTTACCCCGTGAAAAACGGCTTCTCGGTTCTTCCCTGGAAATGCGTCTCCCTCTCTCTCTCTCTCTCTCTCTGTGTGTGTGTGTGTGTGTGTCTTATACGAATAAGTTATTGAAGTATTAATGTTAAGAAGCATTGTCTTCTTTCAAATACAGGTCAGAGATGCTAACAGTTTTTTAAAAATAAATCAGCAAATCCTCTGTCTGCTTGCCTGTCGCACGCGATCCTGATAATGCAGCCAAGACGGATTCTAAACACGAGTGGTTAGTACAGTAATCCGAACGTTAAAGGTAATTGGGAGCTTCAAGACGATTGTTCCTGGAGCAACTGAATTTGCAGCTGCACAAGACTAGACAAATGGCCTCAACTGCCATTGTTTTTCCAGCCTCAGAAGCCCCAGCCGTTAGATACAGAGTGGACTGGAGAGCAGATGCGTAGCCTGTGCTTTGCAAAGACTGTTCTTCCACAGGTTGTTGCTGTCTGGAAAGGTATGTGGTTGTACTGATGAAGAGGAAGGAGCAACTATTTTAGTTCCCTGGATGTTATAAGATGGTAGTTCCACCAACAGGCGGTACAGCATATACAGGAAAATGTGTTTTCCAGCTCTATATGAATGGAGATCTTTTTTTTTCTTTATTGATTAAGGTATTACATATGTGTCCTTATCCCCCATCGCTCCCCCCCACTCATGCCCTCACCCCTCTGGAGTCTGTGTCCATTGGTTAGGCTTATATGCTTGCATACGAAGTCCTTCGGTTGATCTCTCCCCCTTACCCCTGCGCTCCCCTATCTTCCCTCTGAGGTTTGACAGTCTGATTGATGCCTCTCTGTCTTTTGATCTGTTTTAGTTCCTCTGTTTATGTTCATTATATTCCACAAATGAGTGAGATCATGTGATATTTATCTTTCTCCAACTGGCTTATTTCGCTTAGCATAATGCTCTCCAGGTTCATCCATGCTGTTGCAAATGGTAAAAATTCTTTCTTTTTTTACAGCAGCATAGTATTCCATTGTGTAGATGTACCACAGTTTTTTAATCCACTCAACTGCTGATGGGCACTTAGGCTGTTTCCAAATCTTAGCTATGGTGAGTTGTGCTGCTATAACATAGGGATGCATGTATCCTTTCTGATTGGTGTTTCTAGTTCCTTGGGATATATTGGTAGAAGTGGGATCACTGGGTCAAATGGGAGTTCCATTTTTAGT